CCGTATGCAACGTCAAGTCTACAAACCTATTCCGGAACACTATTCAGCTTGGTTAGCCAAAGGAGAAAAGAAGAATAGCAGCAGCTCTATCCTCGAACACCTTCTCATCTCCGGATATCGAGCATCCCCACATGAATGCTTCAGTGATACACAGAGTCCCTCAATATCGGATATGCCATCTTTACATAGCTGAAGCATTAGCTATTCGAGATATGAAACCGGACCTGTGCATTCAAAAGCGATACATACATTCCCTCGCCCTGCCATGGCCAGAGTAAAATTCTTGCTTTTTTCCTTCAATGTGTAAGTTCACTATTATTATTATTGTTCTTAATACTTTTATTATCATTATTAATCCCATCATCCACATTTTATTACCACTCTATTACTGTTTATTAATAACATTGCTTTTACATACATATTTTATTCAAAAACACTTTATAGCTTTTCCACTAGTTCCTGTCCCTTCTACACGAGCTTATTGATTAGTCATTATCTCACACTTATTACGTCATGCCAACTTCTGTCTCCTTTCTAACTTACAATTAGTCATCCCTTCTTACACCTTACATTATGTAATACGATTTTTCAAGGACAAAGTTTACCATTATCTGATTGGTCTTAACATTTCTTTGTTAAATATAATTACGATTGTACAGCTCATGAAAATGAATCGTCGAAAAGAAAATTTTCTTCGCTGTTTGTGCCTTTTTCATAAAAACAATTATTTTGTGTTCTAAGTCTCTGGAAGTGGGAGAAAAATCTCTGCATAACTAAAGCCTAGAAGAACTAATATTGCAAAAGTATATCGACCAGAGAAAATCCGCACAGATGTTGTGGCGTTAAGATCTGTTTTAAACATTCGAGACTCGTCAAATTACACTTTGTTAAATTGACTCGTGTAGTTACTAAAGGCAATGCAAAGAATATCCTGCGAAAACTGTTTCAAGAATGTTTATGAATTTATAGACATTAATAAAACTAAAAGTACAAAAGCTAGAGGTATGTTACCTCTCTGTATAACATCACCGTTGAGGAACATTTCATTGTTGGAAATAATTCATCATTTATCAGAAACTCTAATCCAAAACAAACTGAATATGAACCTAGGATTCAAACGTTGTAGGCCTAATGATTAATTAGTTTTGCCAATGATCTCTATGCTGTAATCGGCTTCCGATTCCGCCCGTTATTGTCAAGAGTTTTTATGTCTGAACTAGAAAGTGGCGACCTGAAACCATACACTAGCAGGCTCGACACATATTGCAGATACGTGGATATTAAAATAAATGAAAAAGGGGAAATTAAGCAAGACACTTATATCCTATTAATCCGGTCAGATTGCACAGAATGCTACTGGTAAGGTTTATCAGTAGTATATAAGGAGAAGTTCATCGGCATAAAAACATCAAATATCAAGGAGGTACATTTGATGTCAGAGAGGGCATGGGAGACGTGAAAGGAATACAAAGAAACGCAATATGAAGACTACAAGTACCACAACCCGAAGATCTGTGCTAAGTGTGCGCTGAAGATAAGGTGTACATAATTTGGCTATATAAAGATACCGATTCCCAAACAAACACTCCTTTACCAAGTCCTTCATCTTCTACCGTTGCAAGATGAGTGAGAAATGACCAAGATTCAGGTGGACACCAAATTTAACTCACGCTTTTTCAAAACTGGTTACTTCTACCTTTGGGAAGATTTCATTGTTCATAAACCGATCAAAACCTAGTTGAAAAGATTACGAAACGGTTTCCACAGTCTCGGAAGCAATGCATTTCTAAGATTAGCTTCAACAATACAATGTATCTTACTGCCATGTTTGAAGGACAGAGCATCCCACATATATTTACAAATGGAACTTCTGTGGAAGTGGAAATCTATTACCAAATATGACTATCTTATGCTAATTAGTAGGAGGGAAGTAAAATAAAATTATGAATTGAATGATTCATTGTTCATATGCAAGCCAGTGAAATGGTCCAAAAATATTCTTTACCGGAAGTTTATTGTGCAAGTTCTCATTGCACTCAATTTAAGTTTCATAACTTGGAATTGTAAAACCACTTTTCTTTTTACAAAATTAAATCCATTCCATTTTTACACAAATAGAAATTCTCATCCTACCTGTTGTGTTCTTCTACTAATGCCGATCTCATCACACTTTTCTAACTTAACGGTAACACTATAATTCAGCATATAAGGGGTGTGAGAATCTGAAGATATTTTGCAATGAAAGCTTCTCAATCACAGTTATGTAAAAGTTTCATACTTAAATGTATTAAAATATCTTTAGTTCTTAAAACTCCATACTGAAGATCAAATGGCCAGCTCGAAAGAATAAGCAACGTGCAACTCAGGCAACAAACCAACCAAGAGCCGACTGCTCAACAAATATGTGGGAGAAAATGGAAATAGATCGGGCATACGTTGAAGAGGCCGTCGAAGGACATCGCGTGCAATGCACGAGTGGAATCCCAGTGGGATATGATGAGTTGGGCGTCGGAGGGTGACATGAAGATCATGCGAAGAAGAGATGAGAGATTGTGGTTCAAGCTGAAGAGGATGGCAGAAGACATGACTAAGTGGAGATGTGTTGTTGAAGCCCTATGTTCCACTCGGAACTCATATAACATAATAGTTCTTAAAACAAATGTATATTCGTGCTCGCGATTAACCTCTTGTAGGACTGTATTGGATACGTTGGTTGGACACTAGTAACTAGTGTGATGTGCTTAGCCGTGAGTTCGAATCTCAGGGGGGACATGAGTTCCTTCAAGGTTGCAGATACGTCTTGCTGACGAGTGCCAACCGGCATGAAACCTAAGTCTAAAGCTTCCTGTTGATTACCTCCAACCGTATAATATCATCAAACAAATGTGCACCGTTATTGAGAGCTACCTAGAATGGTGGCCACATTGCAAACCTAACTGACAGAATTCAGTCTGCATCAAAGAAAGGACTAGACACATCACACTAATTACTAGTGTCAAGTCAAAGAATCTTGGAAGTATGCTATACATTCGCTACTCTCCATTTCTTTAAAAACTGGAATTGAAACAAAGACAGCTACAACAATCTCGGTGAAACACCTGAGAAACCTAGTTTTCATATTTTGAAAACCAACTAACACAGCTCAAATTTTCGGATAAAACTTCTTAAACATTGATTTCTCGGTAAAATTTCTGCAATCTGCAACACTCTTATCAACACTTTATCGCACAATTAGGTGAAAACTCCTGTCAACTATCAGCTACAAAGTTAAAACTTTCTTCCATCGTCGAAATGTTAACATTGGGTTATAAGTAACTAGGTATTAAATCATCGGAAGATAAATTTCGACTATAACGGAGATTTCAGCAACTTTTTATTTTGCTTACATGAATTCGACTGGTGAAAAGCACCAATTTAATTTGATATAAATGTAAGCACTTTGAGTATGCGTACAGTAACACACGAAGACTGAGTGGTGGAAGTGCAAACCTAGTGGAAACAAATGTAGTGTGTAATAGAGGAAAACACTTCAACTGAAATCATTTCCAAGATAGTCAACTATTGCAATGGAATTATCAAATTTACCAAACTCCTAATAATCCATTTAGATGTTTGAAAATCGTAACACTTATATACCGTCTGGTAAACTCTTCAACAGTTTAAGGAAATAGATGCAGGATATCTCTTCTGGGAATAAGGAATTGACTTAGTGCAGTATACAGCAGCAGTGAATTGGCGTTTATCCTCACTGTTCTCAGCTAACAGATACATAACAATTAAGTTTATGAAGTTAAAGTGGTGGTGGTTCTGTGTGTGGCATTTTTCGATCACGTATATATCACTAGTGAACACCGAGCCACATATCCCACGAATAAACAACGCAGTACATGGGTAATTCCCATGATGTTGATCCCCGTGATACCATCGAACATGAACCTAGTATCAGTATTTAAAAACGCCTCAAACACTGCGTGAATAACTGATAAAATCTCCTATACCTGCATTTAAGCTTGACTCAACGACTCCACAACCGAAAATGGGCAAATAGGTAAAGTGGTAACTACGAAATTTTGTGGAGTAACATTTATTTAGCGTTGTAAAACCCATTTAAACAAACATTCAGACTTCGTTACATTCTTCATAACAGGAATCCATATCATAACTCTCTATTAATGATCAGAAACTAAATATGAATCGACGCTACACAGATACACTACTATCTAACCATCCTAAACTGTCTTTTTCGTGGAAACTACGTACAAGTTTCTCTGTGTCAGATACAGACCTGAAACATAAGAAACCAGCCTTAAACTAACGTTGGAATATTGAGAATAATGAGAGCACAGCTGGTAAAGAACTTGTTAATACCTATTGAAGGGATGGCTACTGGACGGATAGAATCGCAGCTGAACGTAAGGTTGTAAACCATTCCGATCATAGCAAGGCGATTTCCCCTTTCTTGTCAGAGACTGTAATACACGTTTGACATTATCACTTATTAATTTATTGGTAAAGCAGTTATGAAGGTACTGAAATTTGTGGGTTAGTTATTACTGTTAGATCAAGACAATAACACTATTGGACGGACCACTCGACTGCTGTTCACACGCAAAAGGCTGACTGAGAGGGTCAAAGGTTTATTTCTACATGCTTAAGGCAAATCACCAGAAAAATTACATTTATTTCTGTTCATTCAATTCTACGATTTCCAATACCGAATCCTTATGTTCATCGACTGAGAAGTCAACATTTCTCTGCAGAATGTATTCATATGTAAATTTTATTGCCAAAATCACTATTATGAGAAGTTAAAAAGATCCTAGTACTTGACAGACCTGTGACCAATCAAATCCCTGCGACCTAACAATTGACAAATAATAATCTAATAACCAGACTGAAAATGTAATCGTGCAAATGTGACAAGATCACTCGAAATATAATGTTTCAAGATAGGCTGCTTTGAACTATCAATGTCAATAAAGAATTAAAAAAACCGTTTTCGTCTACAAAATCTTTATTAGGAAAATAGGATATCTGGGAGTACAGGTATTACATTTTATACTCCAGTAGAACCATAACCATTTGAGCCACGTTCTGTTTCCTCTAGGGATTCACACTCCACTAATTCTGGACAGAAAATACGCTCGCAAATCAACTGAGCTATACGATCGCCCTTTTTAATCTAAAATTTGACAAATAAGTCATAAGGTTAAGCAGAAGTAAGTGATACAAACAACATCTACATTAAGATGAGTTGAATATAGATTTCAGAAATATTCAAAAGATACAAATCAAAGTGAGCATTGGGTAACTTGGGCTGATTTCTACTGTCAGTTACTCATGACAGCCTAACACTGATGCCCATGTAGTCCTGAATCTTTTAAAGACAAATTTCTCGTCAGATTTTTAGCAAGAATACTTTTCGTCCTCCCTCGTGTACATGTAACTACATATATAGCAATAAAGTTATAGGTAAATAACCTTTTCCAATCATGTTTCAAACCTCAGCAACATTTTGTAGTTTTGTAACCAGCAGGCAATGGTAGGTCTATGACCAATTAGTGATTATTCTGAGGACTTAATCACCAGTGAATGAATAAGTTATTTCAATCAAAGCTTTCAATTTTAATCCACTCAAAAATCAGCTTTGTGGAATAACCATCGACCAGTAAAGTTTTGGGAATACTTTGTAATTCATCTCTCCAGCTGATGATCATTTGATAGTCCTTCAGAGACTTCTTTTATAAGTGGACAAAATGCACTATGGAAAAAGCACTGTTTTATTTATACGAGGTTAAGTAAAACTACGTGCAAAGAAGCTGTGCTTTACTCCAGTAACAGTAAAACCCAAAAAGTTTATTCAGATATTTTACTAACATGATTCCAACTTTATACACGGTTTGAGCACAGATTCGTTTTTTCATGTCACTGGCTTAGTATGAATTTTCCTGAATGGTCTAAACATATTTCTGCTAATAATGGAATGATTGCAGCTCCTATGGTCTGATTTCTTTCTTGTTAAGTCCTATTAATTATACCCAAAATCGAGTGAGTTCGTATTAAATCTTCAGTGTAACTAATATAGGTAGTGTATTATTGATTAAGATTTGAATATCCTAACTGGTGAGGAATTTATTTTCCACTCATAATGGTCACAAAGAATTTATGATAAAAATCGTGGGAAATGACAGCATTTCAGCATATTTCAAAAACTTGAAAAACTGCAATCAATGCAAAGAAATATAACGCAATAAGTTATTGTAGTGGAGATATGCTTGAATAAAGTTCTTCGTTAACTGGTTTGTAGATGAAACCATTTAAGTGCAAACTCCAACCAGGAGTGGGAACACTCAAGGCATGGAATAAAAACATGCACAGCTACACTTTCAAGTTCGAAATTTATAAAAGTGAAAGGATTGCCACAACATAATTAGCTTACTACGAAGTCTCCTTTTCCAAAGTTGAAAAGTACGACGCCAACATTACCGCGGTAGTCCTGATCAATAACACCAGCACCTACATCGATTCCGTTTTTCAAGGCTAAGCCACTTCTTGGAGCAACGCGACCATAACATCCATCAGGTAATTGAATCTATTAAATATATGACAATCAGAAGAAACAAGTGGATTATAATACACACAACTGAAGATCACGAAAGGCTCATCACTGAAGGAAAATTTTCGGCAACCACTTCATCCTTTCATTAATTTTCCACGTGATAACACCGAATATAAGTAAGGAATAAGTACTACAGAGACTGCAGACATAATTTTGCCTATGAACAAAAGATTACTTATCATTTCAAAAATAGTATAAAACCAGAAAGCAATGCAGCTGTAAACCTTGAACTTGGTCATGTATCAACTTCCTGCATACAATGATGGCTGAACTTACGAAGCAATAATTAAGACAGCTAACTCCAAAAATTTATCCTTCTGAAGACGTTTAAGTGTCTGATCCTGACAAGAAACGAACACTAATAGGTATCAAAATGTTGTGAATATAAGTCGAAGGGTGTAATTGCGTTGTGCACGTTAAGTGACTGAACTGCACTTATAAACATTACATAGTAGACAAAAATCCCGAGCGATTTCTCAGGCGTCAGACAATTTTCGGAACTACTAACACAATTAAGACTGAAGATTTTGCAGTTAGTCAATCGTTCTGTGTAATGAACTTAATATTGAAGTATTAAAGTTCCCATTCTAGAGATTTTTCTAGCAATTTGTACTAAATTTTCATGTTATTTCTGCATCACTGGCTAAAATTTCACTTCAGTATGATGCTCATGAATCCATATCTGTACGACTATCTTTTAAAAACTGAGAACGAAATACATAAAGTGATACTTGATAAGGGTCTTATCGTGGCATCTTATCCTCAACAAAATATTTAAACAAGTACTCACAGAGTTCAAGGAATGTTAGTTCAGTCATCAAACACTGATTTACAGAGCTTTTGTTTTATGCTAGCAAGACTTGGACTCCAAGCGATGAAAAAATCTGGAGCCTCCACAAGTCTGATTATCGTTCTGTGAAGCGCCGCTAGCTTCAGGGTGATACCATGTACGCAATCCGGACGTCCAATTATCTAAATGTAGATCACTAGCGTCAACAGCCGACTCATATTCGTCGGTTCGGTTTTCCATCTACGTACTTCAACTTATACCGTATCACACATAGCACAGCCTACTACACAAAGTGCCTTTTGCGTAACGAAACATGGGATTTTATTGACAACCTGATGTACTGATGAAGCGTAAAGGAATGAGATCACTAATTCGTTTTTGCTTACTTGTATGTCAGTTTTGACCAATTCTCTGCCTCCAGCATATATAGTAGCGTCATATGCAGCATAAAGGTCGTAACCAGCAGCAAATGCTGAACCACGAGTAGGAGTCGTTGCTTGGTTAGTTAATTTTTTGAAACGGAGTTTGACGGGGCTGGAAGAGACGCCATTTTCAATTTTCAGGCATTTATTTTCGGTCGGTAAAGATTCTGACGTGACTGACATTTTGATAGGCAGTAAAGCACTAAACTTGCTAGTCCTGTCAAATGAATGTAGAGTAAATAGTTAACAAAAATTCCGATGCTGCAGGGATATAAATTAAATAGTGAAATAAGTGTTGGCACCTACTTGTTTCCACACTACGTAAGTTTATTCGACATAACTCAGTGATGGTGTGAATATCTGGATGACTTGCCGAGTACAAATTAATGTTAAAAACCACATCAGCTAATTTTTAACTCGCTTAGTGTAACTTTGTTGTAGTTTCCTAACTATCCGGAAAGATGTTGCATCACCTCGACTCCACGTTATAGTTAATTCGATAAGCAGAATTCAACTACCGACCCCTCTACTCACCTAATCATGTCACTTTTTAAAACCCTAGAGTGTGATAATTTAGGCGTACTAAAATGTAATGTAATTAAGTGAAGAGGGAGGTAAATCGCCGAGTCTTTGATCAATGAACCAACACCAAGCACACGCAGTCGAAACATTGCAAAACCTATCCTGGAAAGACAGGAAACTGCAATGAAATGAACAGGGAATGAAACAATACAAAGCAATTCAGGAAGTCATGCCAATGTATTGATGTAATTATGAACAATATATTGTCCTCGCAAAGTCACCCAGTTATTAGCATCACTTAAATGCCAAAATTTCACTTCCTATACTTGTGTTTTTCAAAAGTGATTTGAAAACCTATCTGCAGTTTCAGGCTGGGACAACAATAAGAACATACTATATTACATTCATCGGTCCTGCAGGAAATTATAATACCTAACCGTCCACGTATAGTCCCTTGCAATACAGAGACAGAAAATGAATGATGGCTAGACCAGTGGAGGATGCACTTTATGGGTAAAACCCTGACTTTTAAGGGTTAAAGTTCACGCGAGTTCAGGTTAGTCCGTCGTAGCATGATTGATTACACTTGGGAAATAAGCAGTGGTTTTCACATTTGCTTAATTCCCACAAAACCAGTAATAGACTTTATTTGAGTTAGACTCCAAGGTGCAAACCACTTTTAACTGACTTAGTCTCCCTATCGCTCTAAGGATTCAGAAGTCTGCAGCCCGGATTCATTTATCTGGAGTCACTTTATTCGTTTTCAGACCTAACTTGATGTAACTTATCAGTAAAAAAAGAGGAGTATGCACTCTTTGTATAGTGAATTACTTTGAATTGATCTTAAGATTGGTATATCGGATACCTCAGAGGGATGGCATCATCGAAGACCTGATTACCTACTTGCGTGCGTTGAACCGATATTATTCCAAATAAGCTAAAACTAGGCATTTATTGCAACCCAATCCCGAAATAGGTCCATTTCATGTGCACGGAAATTGTCTAAAGAGCGATCTAGTGCATGTGGGGAAACCTTGTACTTCAAATAGTTCTATGCATGCAGTTCTGATAACATACGGTCTCCAAATAGTGTCATTCTGAAAAAGACTACCCTCATAATCAGGGTGCAAATAACCCAACTACATTCCTTAAAAGAGGAGAAGCACTCAAATCTTGACTCAGTTCACCACCATACCTTCTTGGGATTTCCCGAGACAAAAAAACAAGTTTAAACTCACGAAGTACTCACTTGAATATTTCTGGAAACCACCGATACATTAAAACAACATCTCTAGTAGATGCTTTGTCCAACATCACTGGGCTTAAATTTCGATTGTATTATGGAAGGAATTTATCTGTCTATATGTCATTATCTACTGCTTGTCGTATAGTCATCAGTTCCTTTTTATGGTATTCAATATTTCTTTGATGAACCATTAGAAAGATTTGCTTTTTTGATTGTCGCTTCTCGGCATTTCGTGACCGTTCTCAATCTTCTGGCGTACGCTGGGATAGGAAACCTGTGCCCAGACTGCTTAGTTTCACCTAACCCAGTAGGAGAACAAGTGTTAATTTGTTTTGTACTAGGGAAATAACACCTCAGAGAATTGCAGATACTTATCCCTTCCAAGATTCCTCAAGAGAGTCAAAAAAGCCTCAAAGAAGCATTATTACAAACCTGAAAAAAGAAAGACTGGTATTAGCGAAAGGAATGAAAGATGAAGCTATGGTACCCACATATAATTCAGTTAGTTTAAATTAGTTTATTGATACAGCTTTTGGAATTGATCTGAACTTAATGTTTGTGGCGGCTTCGCTCTTGATTATTTAGATACTTTGTAGCAGAATGACGTCTTTCCCAGAAGTTTTTGTGCAACAGCTCTTTGAACTTTTAAATGTGGTCACACATGATTTGAAAAAGTGCATGAACGGTCCAGGTACCATTGCGCCTAGCTGAACGGAGTGGAGGGGTGTGGTAACGAGGTCAGCTTCTCCTACAAATTTATCTCGTGGATCCACCCTCCCAATCAGGGTCATTCCGTAGACGCTATATCTCCTATTTGGACAGGTCGGTTACGTACAGGCACCAAAAAATATTTGCGGCACTGCCGTGTAGATGAAAATAGCTCAGCAGTTAATAAATTTATGTATCGGCCCGTTCACCATCACCCCGATTCGAATTTCGTTCGGTTTCGTCATTCGCCCAGCATGTCGGGGACCGGCAGGAACTTTATGTTGCTTACAGTCATACAAGGGTAGAAAGACTCCTGATTTCGTCTATGTTGCGCTTTCGTGTAAACTTGATCAGATGTCTATTAATGTGGACTATTATTTCACCTCCATCCTTTCCTTTCCAGTTTTTTTATACATGGTTGACGCACTTATTTCTAATTTGTTTTCTCATTTCTAGGTAAAAAAGGTCTCTACCAGCGAAATGAATGTTATTGGGAGGTGAGTGCGCGTGGACCTGAGAACAGTTTATTTATTTCTAATACCTGTTCTGTAACTGTGTTGTAATTTGCTAGCTTCCTGCACCGTATGGTTGCTTCGTGTGATCGCAGGTGGCAACATTTGAGACATCAAACTACAGGTCAGTCATTTCAGGAGAAACTGGCTTTTTTAGTGAAAATTTGGCTTTCGTGAATCACTCTAATCCGCTTTTGCCACAAGGCTGTCGATTTGCCTCCATGGCATTGCGTATTACTGAGGCATGTTACCTTTGCCCCAGCGTTGCTTTCGGTTTAAGTAATTCATGATGCCTGGGCATCCACAAGTTTGTCATGAGTTGTGTTTGCACAAGCGTGGGGAGTTTTCATGGTCACAATTGTCTGGAGATCCCGCTTGCCACGAGATCACAGATCTGGGGATGTTTCGATAACCAGCATCGCTGTAGCGCAAGCCTACAGAAGAGCATTTTGAGGTTGAGTGTTGTCTGGCTTCACAATTTTCTTCATCAACATTCTCGGAGTATTCCCTAATGGATTTCCGTATGCAGTTATCAGGTATAGTGTTTCAGAGGTATTAAGAATATTTAACCTCCTTAGATGTCATACTTTGATAAAATCTGTTTCTGGAAGTTGTTATTCAATCAGAGTGCGGAGGTGCTCCATTCACACGGCCTGAGATCTGCTATTTTCTGTTATGTTGGGCTTTATGTGAAGATGATAGATAGATTTCTCGTTGTGCGAATACATCTAGGCTTCGCAACCCTTTTGAAGCTATATGGTGTCCTGTTTTAGTAGGTCTACGTTCTGGTCACAAAACTGACAGGCGAATCTATGGCATATCCCCTATTTGGAGTGGCGCCACCGGCTTCACCTTGTCGGCACTTGCGTGGTTTAGTTGACTCGAGTTTTGTTTTTGTTTTCGATGTTTTGTCCGGGTAGTTGCAGCTAAAGTGAATGTGGTGTGTATTTGGTTCTTCCTGGGTGAATCTGTGTACGAATATTTGCTTGATACTGTTCGCAAATATGAACGGGTTGTTTGCACCTAAACCTGTGGTTCATGCAGTGATTGCTTGGTATACTGAGTATGCTCTGCGTACATTTTGGTGACTGGCTTTTGAGAAGTTTCTTTATGGCTTGTCGGCAACCTGTACTACGCCGTAAATTTCCTGATCAGCTGTCGTGCAGCACCTTTTTATTGTTGCAGGAACCTAAGAATATGATTGTTATCGAATTCGTGCTTATAAACCTTTGTGTAGTGTTTTGACTGTTATAAGTCAATAGAAGTGATAGATACAAACAGAGACGCGTGTTCTTAAATGGACAGAAATGGCACTATTTTCTAAGAACACTTGCAGCATTCTCTGTTTTCTGCCAGAAAATTCTAACTAAGTTAAATACATACTACAACATATTCTAGTACTTTGCTGGATTTGAATAACTTCAACGTCGTCGTGATCAGGTAAGCAAAGACATCTGAGGTGTGCCTCACTTGTCCTATCGCTGTGTTTCCTTTCATAAACTCCCCGCTGTTTGCTATTGTCCTAGAACTACACTATATGCGTCTGTACAAAGGCAATTCACAGAATTTGTCAAAGAACTTAACCCTAAGTTCCTATTGTTACGAAGACGCTCCGAACCAGTAAATACTACGACTTATTCTCGACTTTAACTGCAAAACACCAGTGGTTGTGAGAAGGAAGTTGTATTATTTGGCAATTAAAATCGAGGGTTAGTACATAGTCTGCAAACAAATGTTATATACAAAATATCAAGTACTTTTATTCGTTTTCTTTCGTCTTCTTTGAACCTGTAAACGATTGAACCTTTCGCGCCTTTGAGTTGCTCACCAATGGCGACAAAGGCCAATGAACCAACATTCAATGTTCACTTCCACTGACAGAATTATCTGGGAATCATGAAAATGTGGTTTCCAAAGATTTTTAAAGCTATAAACGTAAGGTTTCAGGAAGGGTTGCCATATATACTTCAATCGAATATATTGACTAGCGTAATCGCACACTAATATAAACTTACTGTGTTAACTCGTTATTATTATATTAATAGCGATATTCATGTGTGCATCGTCTGAACCCTTGTTTTTTAGGTACTTGGTAATTTCGGTGACCTCATGGGATTCGTTGGTGAAGAAAGTGGTTTCCAGTATCGTTGATTTTGCATTCTGTTTTAAATCACTATTCCTCAAGTGAGTATTCTACTTTGATTGAACACTAGTAGATATTGACTTCAGCGAATCTTGCGAGCTACAGAGATAGGGAGATTAGAGTCATGAGCTTTATTGACCAGTGGACTTATAAGAGACTTTTGTCCTTCAGTTGCATTCTCGAAAAATACCCATTTGTTCATAAGTAAAAACACATCTTTTATTCAGCGAAGAAATTTCTTTTCAACGACTTCATTTTCAAGCTGTACAGTCGTATTTATATTACAGAAAAAGGTTATTAAGTGGCACTAAATAATGATGAAAACACTTCAGCTGCTGAACTTCTTAGAATATTTAATGGTTCTCACCCATCTTCGCTTTTCACAATCGAAGAAGAGTCGGATTCTTCGTTTCACTTCCTTGATGTTAAGCTAGATAGAAGAGAGAATGGAACGCTTCTAAGGTCGATTTACCGAAAGCCAACATTCACTGGGCAGTGCATTAACTTCAATAGTTGGGTACCTTTAGGGAGAAAGAGAAATCTTATTAATTCCTTATGCTCCAGAATTCGTAAAATCTGCTCTGCAGAGACAATCGATAGGGAACTAGACAACCTTCGATCAAATCTCCTTAACAATGGTTATCCCACAGGGTTCATTGAAGGTAACATCAAGAAAGAATCCGCCCCGAGACAAGTCACAGTACCAAAGAAAAAGCTGTTTATGAGTCTTGCATTCAAAGGTGACACCATTTCAGAATTGATTGAAAATCGTTTATCTAAATGTGTTAAACGCACTTTTCCTGCAGCTGACCTGCAACTAGTTTTTACCAGCCGAAATATGATCAGACAATGCATCAAGGATAGATTACCGCTTTTGTCCACATCTATGCGCATTTACTCTTTTACTTGCTCTTGTGGAGCTGTTTATATTGGACGTTGTAAGCGTAATCTCCGAAAACGTGTAGCTGAACACTATCCGGTTTGGTTAATGAAAGGCGAACGTAGAACTGCAAAGTCGTCTATTTGTGATCAACTGTTAGAGTATGGTCATTTAGCCCCACGTGATTATTCTTTCAAAGTTATATAGATGACAAAATCGAATCGATCCAAAAGTTTACGTTTTCTTCACTTATGCATAGCCGAAGCTTCAGCTATACATGAACAGAAACCTAAATTATGTGTTCAAAAGCGTTTTGTCAAACCCCTTTCTTTACTTTGGTCATAATAATGTTCTTTCTAGTTTTTATTTTATTTTACCACTTGAATTCTTTCCACTTCACTTCACATCTTCATTCTTATCGTAATCGTACTCCAAATTTTCAAAATTTTTTAGACAACGCTTGACATTTTTGTTACAGAACAATCTTTAATATTTTTGTAATTTATCTACTTCAACTCTACCCCTTATAACTTTTATCACATATATACGTACATTGACTGAGCAATTCTTCAGTTGCATTGTCGTTAATATGCAGTACGTTCATGTTCTCGTGATAAATTTGTAATTATTGCCAGTACCCATATGTTGGATGATGCTTTATGGCGAAGCATACTTATACAGTAACTAACAGTTAGAACAGTCCGTTTGAATTGAAACAGGTTCTTACGTTGGGAAAAACTGATACTTCGAAGATCGAAACATCAGACAAGTGATAAAGTTACTAATATCGTTTACATGCGATTGGCTAAATTTACACATTTAGAAGTAATAGCGACTTGTTGGTAGTTTAAGGGATGTTTTGATTGATAGGAACAAGAGTGGGACGGTACGACTGAATGTATGTATAGGCAACATCAACTGACTAGTACGCACATATTTTGAAGTAAAACAAAATCGAGCAAAGTATTTTGAAGACAAGGGCAGAGTAGTCTCCTGAAACTACTAATTTGGTCAGTAACTAAAGTTCT